AAAAAAAAAAAAAAAAAAAAAAAAAAAAAAAAAAAAAGAGTCTCCTGATGTAACTTTAATATGAATCTTGTTGCACAGCAATGCAGATCCAGGGTCAATAGTAATGAACAAGGCCTGGCATCCTGCTGCTACTCCCCTTGCAAATTGTGTTCCTTAGCCGGCTGCTGAACCTACAGGAAAAGGCCGGGAATAATGGTTTATATGGCCATGACCAAATTTGGTCAACGACATCACCCAGGATCTCAGGCCTGTTTGTTTATATCAACATGTAAACAAGGTGCTTTACAAACGGGAGGGGGCTTTTATAACCCCCCCTTTCAATGTTGGGGGCATGTGACTTGATATTGTTCAGAAGTGGACACATGCTCACTTCCCCTCCTTTACTGGCCAGAAAGGCTGCATGCCTGGATAAGGGTCTGGTGTAGATTAGGCGAACCCCACTCCTTTTGTTTTCTTAAAGGAACAGTACACATCGTTTACAAAAAAAAGTGTAGTATTGCTTTTTTTTTTAAATGACAAAGTTCCCCCCTAAAGCCATACCAGGCCCTCATCAATGCACGCAGCCTAGCTGGCTAAGAAAAACTGAAGGCAGTGAGTATGCCCCCCCCAAACCATATTAGACCACATGCCCTCACCATTGTGAGTGTCCTTGCAAGGCACTTTTTCCCCATGTTGATTGGGACAAGGGCCCCCCACCTGGCATCTCTGGCCCGTGAAGGTGGTGGTCTGCATATGGGATTATCAGATCATAGCTGGCTGCAGACATGGATGGCCAGGATACAAGCCAGAGGGCAGGCCAGTCAGCAGACATGGATAACCAGGAAACAAAGATTGGTCATTTTTTGTCACTTTCCCAGAATTACATTATACTTGGGCAATGTCACAAGCAGGTATAAGGCATCCTCCAAGCATGTTAAATAAAGAATTTACTTTTAATGTTCCCGTTTAAGCATTAAAAGATCCTCTCCCCATTGAACTGTATTTTTTTGTGGTTTTGGCATTGGTACATTTCCCCCATGATAGTGCCCAGCTCCCAATCAGTTTTTTTTAACAAAAGTTTGCAAATTAGCTTTGAAAAAGGCCAGAAAAAGCTTACAAGATTCAGCTACCATAGACTTTAAAAGGGTTCACTGCTATGTTTTGGGTTTGTGGATCTCCAGCTGGGTTCGGCTAACATCCAGTAAACAGAATTTTGCTCGGTTCACTTATCATTACTTAGAATTTAGCTGACATTGACCTAGATTATGGATACTGGAGAGTCTGCATTAAGAGTTCCAAACATAAGAGCATTATTCTAGAGCACCTGAATGACGGTGCTGTTTTAATTGTACACTGAAGACACTCAGAAGGTGGCTCTACCTAGTCCCTGTTCAGAATGACTTAACATATGCAAAGGGAGACAAATCAGTTCCACCAGAATTGCTTTTGTCGTACAGCGAAATTCCGATAAGCAGGCAGATACTGATGAGAAAACACAGCAAAATGTGCTTCTGCACAGTATGTCCCTTTTGCACCCATTTTTAATAGCAATTTCTTAAAATAGTTGACTTATTCTTGTTAAATCAGCCTTCACAAAAAGCCATGACCCATAGTGAAAATACAGAAAACTAATTTGTAGAAGCCTCTGTGTACGCTGTACTTTTTTGCTGTGTGTGCTTCCAAAAAGGTTGTGAGTGTCTGTCTGTCTGTCTGTCTGTCACATTCAACAGTAAATAATGTTGTGTGATGCTGCCATATCTGGTGAAACGGTTTATACTGCAAACTATCCACAAACTATGTGGCAGTGCTACTTTCCTGCAACTGTCCAGAGCCATCTCTGCCTCAATGAAGTGTAGTCATGGACACTTCCGGATTTTACCTGGAGTGTCGCAGTTGCCTTCTGTCAGATCAGTGTCACCCTCTGATAGGCTGTGGCCAATCAGAGTGGCGCTCATCTACTCTCACCTGCAACCAGTCAGAATGGCATTCTTTTCCTGACTGGCCAGAGCCCATTGTGTGACTTCTGTCCCCTGACCTTGCAGCCAGCCTGAATGGGCTCTTCTTCTGATGGGGATGCAGCCCATCGCTGGTGTTCTGCCTTGTATTATCCTGTGGCCAGTCAGAGTGGGCTCTTTCTTTCACCCAGCTTTTTTAAACTCTGGCAGATTTTAGTAATGCTGTTAACAACGGTCTGCTGAGCCCCTCGGGAGCCTTTCACCTAGCCAACCTACAACCTTCCATTGATTCCTGTGTAGTGACCTACGGCTTTGTTTCCTGGTTATCCATATTTGCTGCCTTGCCCTGACCTCTAGCTTGTATCCTAACCATCTGTTTCTGCAGCCAGCCCTGATCTCTGGACTGTTTCTACGTGCCTTCCTGACTTGAGCAGGGTAAACTAAGGGGTTGTGATCAGGAGTCAGGCCACAGCTAAGCCCAAACCTCCATAAGGCAGTCGCTGGCAATTACCAGCTGGCTCTATGTGTGGTCCCCAGGAGATCCCATATTACCTGTTCTCACATGGAACCAACTTCATGCTTTGAGGAGTTCTGACTGTACTCCATCTCATACATTCCAGTTTGATCCAGATGCAGTTTCCATGTCTTCCCATGTGATCTGATCTCGTTCCTACTCTGCTGATCCAGCTCCCTGCTTTACATAGTCCATGTTGCTTGGTCCTACTGAAAGCTAGCTTTCAGACTATACTTTTTTAGGAATGCCTTTTGCCTTTCCTTATATTGTAGCTGAGGGTCCACATCAGCAAAGTCGCTATGCTGACATTATGTCTATGAACTAAATAATGCCCTATTTTGTATTCTATTACAGGGGAGGAAAATCTTTCAAGGCTAGTTTCTAAATCAAATCAAGTCTTCACAAGTGGCTTTGTGTCATTAGTTTTCAGGTAGGCCATCATCTTTTGTTTTCCTTGGTTACTAAAGATTAACTAATGGTACGAGAACAAAACAGGCAGTTTAGGGGCAAATATGTAACAATCTAAGTAAAAGCAATTATAACAGAGGGTCTGGAACTTCTCATGATGCAGCATGAAGGTGTGCCTCACATCACAGACTATGGAGATTTCACCCAATAATAATGTTCTATTACTTGTTCATGTATGAGGCCCCACATCAATTTTCTGATATTTCAGTATCTTACAACTGCCTAAATTGCCTCAATTATTATGTTACAGTATTATGGTTTTAAAATTGTGTCGATCTTTCAGAATACTGCATCTTTCATAAAAATACCTGGAAATATATTAAAAATCAATTCTACACTTCTGTGCACAGAGAAACTGCAGAGCTAAACATTCAGAGAG